ACGTATTTTAATGGCAATTGTGAAGTCATTCATTTTCACACAGGAAACATTCGGCATTTTTTGAACGAATGATCAATGCTAATCCCGGTTGAAATTTATAAAACTGTTTTAATGAAACAGTTTTTTTCAGAAAATTAAACTTCTGAAGCCCTCTAAATGTTATAGCTCTTTCTTATATCGATGAAAGTTTCTTTTCAAATCCTTTGTTTTTGTTAGCATGGAAAGTCAACAGCTTGATTCTATCGTTATTTTTTTTATAGGTACATTACCGACTATTGTGTTGTTGCTGTTGGAGATGTCCATGTGGTATAGTTTTTGTGATTTGCTATAGCTCTTTGAGATTGTGTAGCACCTGTCTATAGGGTTTGTTGAAGTATTGTCTTCTTTAAGATTTATAGAAGACGACACTGAAAGTTTATGTTCTGAAAGTACTGCTGGTACTCTACCTGCCGGGTCGGGTTATCGGCGACTAAACCAGTTCCCCCACCAGGCTTTTCTGGTGAGAAGCGTGGCTAGACACCAAGCGGAATTAAAAACAAAACCTGTCAACGGGACATTTATTTGGAGAGCAATAGTCATCTAGCATAATGGGATAGACTGGGCTCCATAGCTATGTAAGCAACCAGACCTTCCTTAACTGAAGTTAAGGGGAAGGAGGAGGATATGATGACCTGGAGAGGGATGGGCTCTACCAGTTGTACTTGCCTAAGGCACAATACATGTGAAGGACGGTTTTCCAAGCATAGCTTAGATGTGGCACAAGATCGAAATTATGGGGCACCCAGGGAGGATCGAACTCACTACTCAGTCATAATTGATCTAGCGAGACAAGCTTGTTAATCATTACACCACTTCGAAGAGCCTAAATAACTATCTAAGCGGAGCATGGATGTGGCTCGAGGCTGAAAGTCTGGCGCACGCAGTGAGGATCGAATTCACTACTCGATCGTAATTGATCTAGCAAGACGAGGTTGTTAACCATTATACCACGTCGAAGTGACCCAATACGCGTGAATAAATACAACAACCCAGATATGTGGTAAGATAGCTTCGCGGTTACTTTACGACCATTGCCCGGCATGGGGCTGATTATGATGATGATCATTTATTAGATGCTAACAGGTACAAAGCTAAAGAAGCATAATGGATCAGCACGCTGTAGGTTGTTTTATTTTTTTATGATATATTAAATGCATTGGGAATGCACCCGATTACTACGCAGCAGCGATGTAATTAGGTTTGCATGAAAAAGCATATAAGTATATGAACTGATGTGTGATCTTTTGCAAATGGAAGAGTTTATAATATTGATGTTTAAAAAATCAGCACGCAAAAAAAAAAAAAAAAAGAAAAAAAGAAAAGAAAATAAAGCCATGGAAAATACTGTCCGTTTAAATAGGAAAGTGGCGGTCCTCTTGACAGCGACAAGACGTGGACGGTGTTAGTGTGTAAAAGAAATGTCAGATGAATATGAGTCTAAAGTCATTGAAATGTCATTTCGTACTGAAATATAAGTAAAAAAACTGTAAGAAAAAAGACAAAAAGAGATCACAATAAAATAAAAAAAAACACAGGATGACAATAACCGTTCGCCATTTTACAAAATGGCTTCCAGCGGAGAGCGCTATCAATCAAAGTTGGCGCGCGAAGCGTATTTTGTCAGAATACAAATGGAATTTACTGCAGGATAATTGACTTTGGGATAATTGATCAGCGTGCCATTGGATGATATCAAGTGAAAGAAGCAACAGAAAGAAATCTTCTTCAAAACTAATTTTAACTGATCGCACAGGATTTCAGATATTTTTTTCTTGTTCCTATCATATTTTTATTATCAATAAATGAAATCATCATCAATATGAGACCTATCATAATTATTTTACTACTATATTCATTTAATCTGTTTAAATAAAATAAACAGTTGCAGATTAGAGCCAATGCATTATTCTCAAAGAACTATCTAAATATTAGACTGTGCTCAAATTTCTGGTATTATATTTAAGAGATCGAACACTGAAATTGATTGTTTGATTCCTTTTTACGGCTTATCAACCCTTTACAAGTTACTTACATCCAGGAAATAATTTTCTGAGATTCTAAGAAATTTTTCTTTATTATAGTATTTAGTGATACTAGACTTAATAATTAACCCATAGCTAGATGGAGAACATGTGGAGTCATATATTTTCCCCAGAGTATTTGTGCGTAAGTAAATATAACAAAGCAAACTAGAATTGAAACCCCACTCTCTGATTGATAATTCCAAGTCATTATCATTTACAGCACATCCAAGCTTACAGAACATTGTACTGCAAAGCGGACACGGGTTTAGTTATTGAGCTGGTTTGACGTTGCTTAGCTTCATGATGTGTTCTAAAAATATTTCAACCGTCTCTTTCTGATTGTAACTATATTGAAATGTACTTGATATTTTTCTTAAAATTCCCTTGTGCTCCGCGCGTTATACCCATTATACAGTTGTATCCTTCATCAATAAAAACACTTCCTTGTCGTTTCAAGTCTCTTCTTCATCTGGAAAGAGGTTATCCACTTGTAACTGTCATACATGAGATTAAGGTATTATGAGAAAGGTTCACGAGCAAAATGGATCATGAGGAGGATCCAGGAGCAAAGTGAATCACGAGGAAAATACCTGGGCAAAATGGATCAGAAGGAAAATTCACGAGTAAAATCGATCATATTGAAGATTCAAGAACAAATTGGAACCATGAGAAAGATTCAAGAGAAAAATGGATCATAAGTAAGATTCAAGAGCAGAATGGATCACGATGAAGCTTCACGAGCAAAATGGATCACGAGGAAGATTCACGAGTAAAATGTATCATAAGGAAGATTCAAGGGCAGAACGCATCACGAGGAAGAATCAAGAGCAAAATGGATCGTACGGAAGATCAAGAACAGAATGGATCATAAGGAAGATTCACGAGCAAAATGGACCATAAGTAAGATTCACGAGCAGAATGGATCATAAGGAAGATTCAAGAGCAAAATGGATCATAAGGAAGATTCAAGAGCAGAATAGATCACGAGGAAGATTCCTGAGCAAACTGGATCGTAAGGAAGATTAAGAGCAGAATGGATCATAAGGAAGATTCGTGAGCAAAATGGATCATAAGGAAGATTCAAGAACAAAATGGATCATAAGGAAGATTCACGATCAAAATGGATCATAAGGAAGATTCAAGAGCAGAATGGATCACGAGGAAGATTCACGAGCAAAAAGGAAGATTCACGAGTAAAATCGATCGTGTGGAAGATTCACGAACAATTTGGACCATGAGAAACATTCGTGAGCAAAATGGATCACAAAGAAGATTTAGGGGCAAAATAGACCACGAAGAAGATTCACCAGCAAAATAGATCGTGAGGAAGATGCATGCGCAAAATAAATCATAAGAAAGTTTCACGAACAAATTGGCGCATAGATACACGTACAAAAAATGATCATAAGGAAGATTCACGAGCAAAATCGATAATAAAGATGATTCACAAGCAAAATGGATCATGAAGGAGATTCAAGAGCAAAATGGATGACGAGGAATTTTCACGGGCAAAACCTACATCGATACGATTGATTGTTGAACGACAACACAAGCAAAAGATATCCTGCTTTTCTTAATGAACATTGAAGTTTAGCCGATTACAATTCTCATCTGTTTGCGTAATGAAGAAACGTAACAAATAAATTCCATGCGAATTGACGGAACATCATATTCTCCTTCGTTTCGTCGTCTGTTGATAATTACCTACTGGCATCAATAACAATCTGTTTCTGAAATGTGTCATTACATGCGATGAACATAGAGATATTACAATAGTCGCAAATTGACATGCTATGTACTCGATTGGCTTGAAGTATAAAACACGACGATGAGGTAAGGAACAAAATAGATCACGGGTAGAGATGGAAATAACTTGGCAGCTAAAGGAAGAAAAAAGATTGGAAATCGAAAAAAAGAGGGAGTATTAGCTTTGAAGTAATCTGAAATTCGAAAACACCATCTTCCATTAGTTCAAAAATAAAACATACAGTAATTACGTATGAATAATGTTAACATGTCGTAATTATGCGGGCTTACAAGTAAAAAGGATACAAATGATTAGCAGATGAAAATAAATGGAATTCTCCTTAATATACGCTGGTATTGAAAGATGCAGAGTGAAGAAATGGAAGACGGAAAGCAAACCTTTGGGGACGAACGTTGGGGGCATTTGAAGAATGCTTTTCACAGGAAATGTAATGAGACTGGTTAAAGTAACATATTCGACCATTCTTTGAACATTACTGCCATATCTGGTCTGGTGCTCCTACTATATATCTTGAGATTGCAGACAAAATTCAAAGAAGAGTCTGTAACATTATTTACATTATTCTGACTATTGTCCTCATCTTTGTTGCCATATTTATCCTATCCTTCAGTATCTGTCTATATTTCTGAGATGAGGTATTATGTACACTATTTACATCATTCGGACTATTCTCCTCATCTTTGTCGCCATATTTATTACAACGTTTCGGCACTTGTACGCTCCTGCCTTCTTCAGGTGGCTGGAATATCGAACTGAACCCTTTATCTTGCTCACTGGGATTGACTGTTCTAGTTTCATGTTTCATGTCTAATGGATGTCACTTATCAGTTATCTCTTGTTAATTTCCCTCTGAAAGTTCTCCACCGCCTTAACCAGGTATTGAACTCACATTCTTTGGGTCATGTCCACTGTGCTATGTGTCCTTGAGGACACATGGCACAATGGATAAAAGCGTTAGTTAAATCCATTGATAGGACCCAACGAGTGTGAGTTCAATACCCGACTAAGTAAGAAATTAACAGGAGATAACTGATAACTGACATCCATTAAACATGGCAAGTGGAACTAGAACACTCTACTACCCAGCAATATCTATCTACAAGTAAAGGTTTTCTTTACTTAAATGTCTTACTATGGTTTATTGAATTAGAATGACTTCCAAAATGTCATGGCAATATCAGGTTGAAACAACGATTCCCATACGATCACCAAATTTAAGCAATGTCGATCCTTGTCTGTACCTCGATGGGTGACGGCTTGGGAATACCAGATGATGTAAGATTGGATGTGCGGGTGGTGTAATGGATAATGGTTCGGTATTATTAATCAAGGAACCGAGTTCCAATTCCAGTTGAGTCTGTTACTTTCACTTACGCGCAAATACCTCTGGGAAATGTTTTAATCCACCTCTACTTTCCCCAGCTATGGGTTAATTAGTAAGAGTTGTATCACTAAAAGTCAGTATTATCTAAAAGAAAAAATGCGTAGAAATGATTTAGGTTTCGGCATTAAATAATCCTTAGATGCTGATGTACCGCTAATCAAAAACACCCAACAAAACCAAAAGAACTCACTTTCTCACCAGATAACATGTCTGTTTTGTTAGATGAATAATATCATATTTCCGAAAAATCATTTCACGAAAGCATTTCTTCAGAGAATCAAAGTTACCGGGATTATAGGAATATTTATCAAATATTTAGTATAAATCCTTGAGAAAGAAGGCTGCTTAAAAGACTATTTTTTCCCTTTTGAAAACGGTGACTGTATGTGCAATTCTCACTAATCCATTGCAAGCAACCTAATATATTGCAATATTGATTCTTCATTGTATTCATTTAATCAGATGTTTTTTTTTGTTCATTTTCTGTTTGCATCACTTTTTATCAATACTATTCCTGTCGCTGTACACTCGGGCTTTCTCGTGTGTCTATCGTATTCTTGAAATACTACACTTACTTATGTCAGGGTCAGGCGTGTTTTCCCCCGTGCACATCCCATTCGCTGTCACTACCAGCGAGCTCTTGAAATTATCCACATCTAACCCGGGCGTTGAACCCATGGACCTTCTAGTAAATTCGGTGAATGTGACCAGCATTCTCAATTCCCGCGTTATGTTTTTGAAACCTGAAATCCGTTTTTTTTTTCATCAGTGACATACCTATGCCATTGATATTTTCGCTTAGTCTACTGATTGTATAATTTGAGCGACTTTCTCATCAGTAAACGAGGTTTAAATAGGATTAGTGGATCTTACGAAACCTGGCGATCGATTGCCATCGGGATGAACAGCTACAAACAAAAGCATGCGTGCCGAAGAATAATGCGAGTCTAAGAATAGCAGGAAAAAAAAAAGACGCAAAAATAAATCCAATCTAATCCAAGGAATATGACACCTTGTCTAAAAATATTAAGATGCGAAAAGCTGCCTGTTGTTGTCAACCCTACCGTCTTATTCAAAATTCATTGTTTCTTTTATTACAACCGCTCATCGCTTTGAAACTGATCGCTCGTGGAAGGACCCAGAAGATTCATTCATTTCATTTACAAATCACATTGTCTATTGAAAAAGGTACACAATAATGCCATTTTAAAAAGGTTATTGAAATTGTTACAATAATATGACCACTGTAGATTTTACAAGTACATAAAATCTACGATTAACACATGATTGTAATAGAATTAAGCCTATAAATATATGAAAGCTTGGAAATTGTGGAAATTTAGAAATCAAATTTTAGTTAAACCGAAACTGAAAAGTCGAAATATATATATATATATATATATATATATATATATATATATATATATATATATTATTTTTTATATATTTTATATTATTTTATATATATATATATATATATTTCTTTCTTTCTTCGTTATTGGATTTATACTATATACTAGCAGCATGGCCAGGCGTTGCCGGTGCTTGATTAAAAATCGTACGACTCATACAGCAATCGCTATCACTTTACTTAAAATATTTTTGCCCTTCCTTGCCTTTAAAGGAGTGCCCTTTGCTGTGCTGATGTTGCTACATGCCTAACTTCTTGCCTATCTCACACTGCGATTTTTTTCTAAGCTCTATACTAAACATTAAATCTGTTACGAAAAAAGAACTAAACAAAATGAACACAAAAAGGACTCGTAACTGGAAAAACCGAATGAAAAAAGAATGTTAACAACAATTAATTTTTTACACCCAACCCAGTTCTGCGGAATCAGAATCAACGTCGAGTTTAAGCAAGCGAATGGGCAAAATGGAGTAAAGTGCCATGCAGATTTAAATTTTTCCCACTTGTGACGAATGCATTTATCGATCTTTTTGCATGCTAGCATGCTAGTTAACATTCGTGTCAGTCAGCTGTTGGCTCTCACGCTGACCAATAGAATCTTCCTGCCTATTCGTAGCCGCCAGCTATAGGCTCTCACTCTGGCCAGTACAAGATGGCCGAAAACTACATGAAAACAGCCGTAGAAGAATGAAAAAATCGATTATTTCCACTATCGATGGGAGTTGTGAAATGCAACGTCGGTCTTGGCCTTTTCCACTAACTTGGAGCATGTGCGTGTAAATTTTGGTGCAAATCCGTCGAAAATTGGGGCCGTGCATTCGTTACATACACACACACACATCCTGCCTTTTATATATATATATATATATATATATATATATATATATATATGGTGGTTTTTGAAAAAATAAGATCCATGATGAAGGTCCAACAAAAACCTGAAGACAATTACTCAGGAAAAATGGGAGAAAATACCTACTTAAATATGCGAATCTGTAATTAAAGACTACATGAAGAGATTGGTTGCTGTTGAATATTCAATGGAGAAAACATGTTTTTGTTCTGCTGTACGATCATTTTTTAAACCCCTAAAAATTTAAATATTGCTATATTTTCTTAACCATGGAATATTATTTAGTTTTATATGCATAAATTTTTAGTATGCAATCTGATACAGTAGATATATTCCCGTTTTGTTAACTTGATATGTTACAAATAAAAATATGAAATATTTTCATGTGTACAATCACTTATTCAACCCCACTATATATATATATATATATATATATATATATATATATATATAGATAGATAGATAACTAGACTCGTTTTGAAAAACCCTCGAATTTTGATTTGTTAATCAAATCAATTTCGAGGAAAAAAAGGTTTTAAAAAAGAAAGAGCTACAAACATGAACTTCTGCCGACAAAAAATCGCACAGATGCAGGTCTGAAGGCCAAAGAAAAAAACCGATACAGTAACAACTAACTAACAAAAAGAGCTCAATACAACCGTAGAGCAGACCTAGATACACCTAGTGAGCCAGACAAACCTACCTGGGTTTCACCTAAACGGATCGTCAGGGAAAGCTTGGCCAAGCTTTCCTGACGATCCGTTTAGAAAAACCTAGGTAGGTTTGTCTGGCTCACTAGGTGTATCTATCTATCTATCTATCTATCTATATATATATATATATATATATATATATATATTACGATACCCTATAAACTCTACAAAACGGCTCACACATCTTGAAAGTCAATTCGGAAAAGAGATGAGGGATAAAGAAATGTCTACTTTTTTCCGTACGAAACAAATAAGATCAAGGGCTTGCGAATTGTGCGATCAATGTCTGTGACTAAATCAAGAAATATGTTAACCTATTCAGTTAATAAGTTGTCGGAAAAATGATGCAAGGAATATTGTTCTAATCAATCATTTGCGAAAATGGGTTGTAGTCGGCGATGAAACAGTTTAATGAGTAAATTGATTGGCAGAGATGCTCGCGGGAAATTAGTTTTGAAATAAAAGAAAAATGAATCGAAGGAAGGAAAGAAGAGAAAAAAAAAGGTAAGCAGTAACCCCCCCCCTCCAAAAAAAGGAGAAGGTGATAGAAAGAAGGAAGAAGAAAATGAATAAATAATGATATTAAGAAAAGAAAGAAAGACAATCAAACATAAACGAAAGAAGGAAGAGTAACTTCCTGACGTGGTGGGTATACATAAAATGGGACATGAATAGATATGAATAGAATGAGACACAAATATCAACAAACGGATAGATATGTGATAGATAGATAGATAGATAGATAGATAGATAGATAGATAGAATGAATACTTCCAACTTTAATCTCCTAAGGTATATGCATGTTAATTGTTATTTATCAATACCAAAAGTGCCTGGCCTATATATATATATATATATATATATATATATATATATCGCTCGCTCGATTCTTTCGTCGAATCCGATGTGTGAGGGTCAAGCAGATCAGTTCCCTGGAAACCGACAGCCGGACAACAGCACATGAGATTTGATTAAGGTGGTGAAGGTTTCGTGCAGGACCATCCACACTTTTTGAAGGGCAGGGTGGAGTAATGGATATCGGCTTGGATTGAGGAATCGGATATATATATATATATATATATATATATATATATATATATATATAAACAAATAATTGAAGGAGATATATCGATAGAAATTAATATGCACAAAAACACACACTTACACATACACACATATAATTATATACATAGTTAGCTGGATAGATACAAAATGAATATAATAGATAGATAAAAGAAAGAATAGATGTATAGACAAGTAGATACATTTGGAAATGAATAGATAGATTGATATTGAATTGGCTTAGACACACACACACACGCATATATATATATATATATATATATATATATTATGAAATGGACAACGTGCGATAACTATTTAAAGACATTATTATTTTTTTACATTCTTTTTATAGATACAAATATTTAAGTAAATTTTCTGTTAATAATAAACAGTATTAATAACATTTACCGACCTGAATATCCGTGAAATTTTCATAGAAAATATTCGAACCTGTATCCTATACGGGACCGTCATATAGCCTGACGTGCTTTACCGGTAGAGCCACAGAGGATCGTTCGATTAGGAAGGTCGATTTTATGCTTTTAAACTACAATCTTCCATGAATCTCTCACGTACATTCATATCTGCTCAAAGCTTATCCAAATATAAACAAATGACCTCACACATTATGAAATGAACAACGTGAGACAATTTTTTTGAGACATTTTTATTTTTTTACATTCTTTTTATAGATACAAATATTTAAGTAAATGTTCTGTTCATAATAAACAGCATTAATAACATTTACCGGCCTGAATGTCCAAGAAACTTTCAGAGAAAATATTCGTTCTCCGACAGGAATCGAACCTCTATCCTCTACGGAACCGCCATATAGCCTGACGTGCCTTAGCC